ATTGACTGGCACGGGCGTAGTCGATGTTTTCCTCCGGAAGGGAGGCTGACGGAGGATCCAGAATCTGGAACATGTCATAGGCGGTGAGGATGCAAATGAAATTGGTGTCATCTTCACCTGAAGACACAGTCACCTTGCTTCGACTGAAGTAAACTGAGTTAAAGTCAAGAGCCGCGGGTGCCCTGTAGATTGGTGGGTGGTTAAACAGAGGACCGTCAGGTTGGAGTGGACTCAGACATGTGCCAAGTTCTGGCTAGAGACTAAAATATCTCCACGTTTGAATGATCAAGTGGGAGTTTTGCAAAAATTGGCCTGGAAAATTCCAGTCATGACATGTAGTTTAAACAAATCGTGACTGATGTCCTCCTCTGGCAAAGCAGCTAACAGCAGGCCAGACACTTGAATCATGTTTCAATGAGAAGACAAAGGTGGCAATCGGGCGGAGTGAGGGCGCTGATGGAATTAAATTCGTTCTTCTCGGAAGACAATGCTGGTTGCCCGGTCAGGGACAGGCAGTGCCTCATTCTGAGCCATGCGCAGTTCCGTGGGGAGTGGCCTGCTCCTGGGGAGTGCACCCGGCTGGTGTGATTCCAGTGTGGAACCCTGCCCGATGTAATCGTGGCTCGTGGATGGAGAGGGAAGAAGGGCAGTCTGACAGGAGGCTGATGGTGGTCTAACACCGGGGCGTCGAGTGATGGAGGTGAGAACTTCATCGATGGACTGGAAGGCCGACATTTAAGCCACAGAGGTACGTTCGTGGTGGTCGAGGAATTTGATAATGATGAGGAGCGTTTGTGCTTGCCTTTTCCGGTGGCGGGTGACCCAATGGCAGAGGTAGCAGACGGGGCCGTGGGAGGTGGAACGCCTAGGGTGCGTTCCTGGTCAAGATCAACGGGAACTGCAGAATTATAATGCCACCGATCATGTAGATCACTTGTAACAGTACCGTGAACAATTACTTCTAAAGATGAATTTGTGTCAGGGAGATATAAATCTAATTTTGGGTTTTTGCACTACTCAAAGTATATTATAAATACCGAATGCTCAGCGTGTAAACCTGAGAGCGATACCCACTGCTACATCTGACATGTACCAGCCAGCCGACCCTGGCAAGTTCGGTGATCGAGTGGTTAAGACATCCGCACTACAAAGCAGGAGGTTGTGGGTTCAAGTTCTACCCCAATAAAGCTTGCATTTTCCACAAGCTCTCAGGTGTACAGACTGAACATTCAGTGCTTATAATAAACGCTGGGTTGGGCAAAACCCCAAATTAAATATCATCTTTAGAAATAGGTGTCTATATGCTCAGTTCATCTTAATTTGCAACCAACCCCTGAGGTGAGCAGTCAGAACTGATCTTTTTAATGCTGCCTGCATACAGCCAACATTGCACAGGTATCTACACCTACATGTATGCTGTGTATCCCCCCCCAATTAATTTGTTTTTCTTCTACATGTATGCCCCCTGTAATCTGACCCAACCACGCTCACTTACATGTGAAAGACTTCATACCACATCCTTCGTAGACCCTCACTTACAAACCAGCACTGGAGAGGGCAATAACATGAATACATGTACATGTTGTGTGCTACACTGTGGTACTTCCAGACCATTTGGGCTGCTCCATGAACCGGATGTTGCCAAAGTACACGTAAGTATGGTTTTACTTGATCACTAGAGTCTTCCCATTCAAAGGTTTCCTTTGTTCGCTTTCATTTTGCCGTTAACTGAAGTTTCACTTATTTTTTCTTTCTCTACAGTAACTATTTGAGGTGAACAATCTTCCCAAAATTTGTGGTAATTTTCAAGGTACACGTACATGTATGTCCTGTACAGTACCTTGGATTGTAAACTATCTCTTCATAGCTGAGACAATTTTGTGTTTGTGTATCATAACACAATTCTTAGCTCCATTTTCAGCAATGAAAACTGAAAAAAAAAAAGATTAATTAGGATTTATTGTGAACAGAAACAATTGTCTGAAATCATATTGTGACTTGAGCCTCTTGAACAAACCTGAAGTACATGTTAACATCTTGCTTTCCCAACAAGCTCCTATGAGCAGATCTGATTGTTCCTTTCCAGGTAACACAAGCACAGCAGAGAGTATATTGTATATCACAAGACCATATAAGAAGTACATGTACATTTGTAATCCCCAGTGTTGGAGGTCTCAAGGCTGATTTTGAAAGCCTTGGCCTTGCTAGGTACATGTAGGCTGCCCATTTTGAGTCAGTTTCCTCACCTTTGACTTAACTCCCGCCTTCTCAAGTTTTATTGTCCCTGTACTTATGACGTGGATGTGCTGTGGGCATGGATCATTTTTGTGAACAAATATGTGGAAGGGGTAAATGTACCAGTACCTTGACTCCCGAATGACATGATGCAGCTAAATAGATTTTATTCCCAGGGACCATACTTATTTTCATTGATTGTTGCCTGAAAAGGATAGCTTTTGTGTTGCGTGAATTAGGTTACATGTACCAGTGGGTACTCACTTAAAGTGCTCTGTGATTTTCTGAATGGCCAGTATTGGGTATGCACATGCAATGGCTGGTAAACATTTGCACACGATAGCTTCGCATGTGCCTCCTTGCACATGGTGGGCTGGACACAGACTGCCTTTTTATATGGCAATTATTCATGGTTAGCATAAAGTACAATTTTTCGTGTTTTTAAGAGAAAATACATGTATAATTTTGGGAAGCTCTCCCAACTTTTTTCTTTCATTTCTTGTTGAAAAATGGTTACATTCACTCAAAAATATATGTGGTTGCAGGATTTGGGGGGCAGCTGTGCAACTATATGTATCTGTGAATTTGCAGCTGTCTTACTTGATTTTGTTTTGGGATTAATAGCCTGCATGTAAGCCTTCATGTACATGTAGATGTACCTTCTTGTTTTTATAATTGAAAATTTTGAGAAATTATTTTGTGTTTTCTCTTTTAGTTTTATCTTTTTTGTGATGATGGGGGACTCCGCACTCTTACTTTGTTGAAATAAATATAGAAATTGAGCTTTACAACACCTCCCATACAAGAGGTAATTATGCCCATTCAATTGTTTTCCAGGTTGTTTACAATGTTACAATGAAGGTAACTAATCAATGAAACATATCTGTACTACTTGGTTATTTTTCTTAGACAAAATCAGTAGGGATATTTGTGTCATGTACAAAAGTTTTTTTGTGAATCTAGATGAATTGTGTGTGCCAGCCAACAGCACCAAAAGTACAGTGTATTTTAGAGAAAAATCACCTATCATGTACTGGTAGATAATTATGTTATACATGTACATGTAGTGTGTGTAATAACTGGCCTTGGCCCTTGGAGACTGTGGCCTCAGCCTCGAATGGCAGTGACTCAGTCTTGGCCTTGGAGAGCCAGGGCTGGGACTTGGCCTCAAAGATTTTAGAGTTGACTCCAACATTGGTTACGCTATATCAAGTGGTGGTGTGGACCTGCAAAGGACCTGGCAGGCTGAGCCCTTAAATTGCATGATACAGGATCCAACCTTGCAGGGCACTAGCCACACTGCACGTCTGGAGGATCATCAGCCCTCCCCCCACTCCTGCCTCCATGCTTTAATCACTGACTGCTCTCTTGCCTTTGCTTGCCCTTTGTCTTTTTTCACCTCTTATGCCAGGGCTTGAACTTAGCTGGTGAAGGTGGATGAAAGTGCCCATTGGTCTCACAAATGCATCTCTAAATTGTAAAGAAAGGCGAAAGTACTTACGCTCAGTTGTTTATATTCTTGCAACGAAAAAAACCTGAACTGTTTTACTTCAGATCACCCTTGTCATGGAACCACAATGTAAGTACATTTTTTTATGATGTTGGCAAGTGCCAGCACAGCGCAGCAGGCTCAACACGCGGCCGGGACCAACAGTACTGGAACTCTGTAATGCACGTAACTGAATCTAGTGTACATGTACAGAATCTGTCCATGTACAGTACATGCATACAGTGATACATATCTGCTGTACGACCAGCCAGCTTGAAGCGCAAGCCTTGTGTATCAACAGCATCCAGGGACCATCCGGTCAATGAGTTGTGATTGGCTGCCAATGAAACATCAATATTCACACGTGTCAGTGGAACTCATTACAGCCATTTCTGCGTGAGCGGTAGTTGTGACTAACAATTTCCACTATAATTTGTGGTACCAGTAGCACACATTTCACTGTGAATTTACGGTTTCACATTAAGGTTAGTACATTTTCGCTTTCGCCAATAGAGGGTTTTGTTAAAACTGGCTTAGGGCATGCAAAGTCACTGTGTCATGTATCATCCCACGAATTTCAAGTGCTCTATGTGCATTGTTTTGTATGAGCTTCGAACAAATTTTGGACATTAACTTATCGAAATGCCAGTGCAACACGAACTGTTCAAAGAGACTCTGACCTGGATACAATCTTTGACAAGACCGATCCTTAAGTTACAAATCTGTGGAAAAAAACAGAGTATGAAATACACCGTGGACCATCAAAATCACTTTTAATTTAAAAAAATTCCCAACCATAAAATTTTTGACCCAAAAAATTTAGAAAAGAAAAGATACTACGTGTACCTACCTATACAACCTATTTTTTTCAATGTAGTTATGGTAATAGGAAGCACAACTTTTATTTTTGTTTGGCCTTCATTTGTTTAATTTCTAGAACATACCCGTATATGGTGTATGGAAGCTACTTGCTCCAGTAAACTGACAAAATCAGCTGTCTATAGAGCAAGTACTTGCTCCCATGATGGTTAACCCTACTTCGAGCCCTGTATGCACCTTTACTTCATCATTGTCCTTACATACATGTATGTAATGTTCTGTCCCCTCTACTCAGTTCTGAAGTCCTGCTGATCTGAAACACAGTAGTAATGTTAATGGCACAAAGTGCACTACATTGTAGACTGTCATACATTACAACAGCCACCTACGTATATATCCCACCTATGCTGTACCAGTTTGGTCATGAAACCTCTCTACATTACTGCTTCATACTCACCATTATATACAACTCTTGGTTTGGTCAAACATATTACCAAATGGCATTCAACATCATCTGATGGCACAGATTTAGAACAGACTGGGCACTTAATCCCTGGTGACAAAAAAAATTATAGCAAAAAAATAAACTTCACCACACTTGTTATGGCTATAAATCATTGTGAACAAAGAGGGAATTTGTTACTGTCAAACTCTGCAAAATGTGCTGACTAAAACCTTTAACCACTTGCTGCCAGGTGCTTTTAAAAATGCACTGCACACATACGGGAGATTTTCAAGATTTTCAGTTTTCAAAATTCTTCAAAAATTCATCATTTCATTTAATGGACATTTACACCCACACGAAAAACTGTTTGGTGGCTACTCTAAGCTGACAAGCAGCCTTCATTGACTCCTGAGTATTTCAGCCAGGCCTGCCGCCCTTTAAAGAGAGCCCAGAATTGTGAGGTGTTGCATAATTTCCTTTGTCCCCAGTGAATGCCAGTGGTGTATTTTCAAACGCGGCTGGATTAGCATGTAGCGGTGCTGTGTCGCTCATCAATGGGGCCCTGGGGCACTTTTGTCCGCGGTGTTAATCCGCGGGCGTGCTATGCCCAAAACAGTGGTATACTGTTTAAAACAGCGATAGATTACCTTCAAAAATGCAAGATGAAAAATGATGGCAATTCCCAGCAGCAGGTCTATTGTTTCGAGTATGGTCTTTTGTTACACGGACCAGCTCTTGTCCCATTTTGGGCACCCTGGCTCTGCGTATAAAACCACAGTCCTTGAAACGGGGTTCCCCGGCAGCAAGTGGTTAAGAAGACTTCTGCATCAAGCCTCTGGACGTGATTATTAAGTTTCAGACACATCAACAAATTTAACAGGGGACTTAGCCTCTTTCCTCACTAAAATTCCCCCACAGTAAAAGGTGCCCTTCTAAAACTTCATGGTGGTCATGAAACTCAAATACATGCGTCATAGATGCCAGATGTAGAAATCTTTTTAAGGCTAACAAGGACAAATTTTCACTTCATTTGGACTACACATTTTTGCTAATAATATGATTCAATACATGCTCAAATCAATACCAAAAAATTTGACTTAACTTTTGTCATGTGCATGAGCATACGTGTACATTCTCAACAATTATTATTTTTTTTCATTTTAGGGTTCCTACTATAACCATTTTGTACTTGAGCCCCATGACCAATGAGGTACATGTACACCTTATAAAGTGTCAACTCTGTGTAAACTACATGCAGTTGGGTAATGGGAAGTCTTGGAGCCAAACATTGTCAGTGGGGGTGTGTTCGAGCGAGCTCCTCACATTAACACGAGTACTCTCCTGAAGCGCACGAAAGCCTGGAGTACGCCCTGCAGATCAGCGACAGTATACTCCCCATCATGCAGGAGTATACTCCTGACCCGAGAGTAATGCGCGCACATCCTCACTCGTGTTGACAGGAGTAATTGCGCAAACGCAGCCTAGATAATGAACTTGAAAAGTGAGACATTTGGGGTAGACAAAAACACTTTGGGGTTTATCCAAAAGACTTCCATGGTCTAGACATGAAATTAAATGATCGATGACAAATTTCAAGTACATTAAATTACAGGTAACTGAACTGAAGGAAATATTTGCTGATAATGACCATGACACCACAGTTTATTAATACAAAATTCTCTGCACTCCTGTTTGACCTAAATAGGTCAAGAATGGTCATTGCCAACTAACCTTGAACATGTTGGACATGCTGAAAAAGTGTGGATGTGAAGAGATGGGCCGGCAGGGACTGTGCATGGAAGGGAAAAGTCCTGCCCCGACTTCTTGTCAAAGGCAGGGATCCGTTATCCTCTGGAGAACTATCATCTGAATCTTGGCCAAGATTAAGGTCAATCATTCCAGGTATATGAAGGCCTCTGCTACTGCTACTACTTGCTCCATCATTCTGTGTACAGTTCCCAAGAGACCTTGCCCTGTTTCTGGAATGCTGTTGGGATGTCTGTACTGGTGCTGATGCTGCATAGGAGGTACTACTAGTCGTACTGGGATATGATCCCCGTTGATGATATGGTTGGTGACCGTTTGCTTGACTTGTACCGCTCCCCATTGCCAAGTTATGTAGAGATGATGGACTGTGTGAGTTCTCACCAAGTCCAGAGTCTGGGTATGATGGATCATGCACTACTTGGTGATGTGAAATTGGACCAGCATAGTTTGTCCTTACTCGTGGACTTGAACTCACTTTCTGCCCCATTACAATTCAATTTTTCAGTCTTACATGTACTTCAGCACTCAGGCTGAGGTTGTGACGGCAACGACCTCATACTTTTGGACTGTGTTGATACACTCACTGGGACTGCATTGTCATTGTCACTACAACTTCCCGTTTGACGATCGTGGAGGTAAGACATGTAACAAAGATGGCATTATCAGCTTCATGGAACACTCTCTGCCTGTGGTCCATTCACAGATTCATAATTCTGCTGTTAAATTATATTTGTAAACGACACAGGCCATATGAGGACCGCAATGATTCGAAAACGTTGATCATGATTCATGTCATGCAGAATAAATTAGTGTGGCCTAGTGCACTGAGCACCGTCTCACCGTACCTGCGTATACGGTATAGGGCATAGAGTTGGATATAGGCCTACATCATCGCGTTAATTGAGCACACCCGCTGCAGTGTACATGTACATGGTTTAGCTTGCAAGTGGCACCGAGTTGCAGGCCCTTACCAGCGAGCCTACGACGTTACGGAAGGCCTATTCGCCGCCAATTTCCATTGGCACTGTATCGTTACTATCTCAAAAATTATAAGAAATAATTAAGACTGAATTTAACAACAAACAAAAACTAAAGATACATCACAGAAGAGAAAAGTAACCAAGTAAATCTTTTATCCCAACAAATCAGCAAAGACGATCGGCTTCCTCATTCTTCGATTTGTTGTGCGCCACCATCAGCTCAACATCATACATATCAATGCCTGAAGTCGTTCGCCCCATCACTGCCATTTCGCTCCATAACACTTTGCCTCACTTCCACTTCGCCCCATATTGACCGCCCTGCCGGCCGTTTTCCAAACCTCGACTACGGCTCCTCTAGGCGTCAAGTTGTAAGCGCAATAGTAAGACTGACAGTACTACAAAACATCAAGTAATATACAAAAGAGGTAAACATTACAGTACTTCAATTTAATTTAAACACTTCAGGCCCACAATCGAGGGTTGATTTCGTAGACGAAGCCTGAAACGTAGAGGAAGTTGAGTACTGGAGGCTGGTGATGGGCAAAGGCGAAAAATAAAACAGCAGCTCGGAAGCTCCTGGTAGAGCGCCACCATGTCCCTCATAAGAAAAAAGTAAACTGAGACGAAGCGGCGCTGTGGGCGCAGTCCACTAATTCAAGTGGGAATTCAAGTTCTTGCCAGCACATTAGCATTAAAAGTGCCCCCACAGTATCTTGTGAAAAAGGAGATTGGCCCCAAAATGGTGAGATTGTGTAAATCGTTGCCAGGATCAACTCCCTGGGTATTTGAGCTTTCATACAAGAGCAGAATGGCTAAAAACTACAATTGAAAAATGGTCCTAAGTACCCGTGAAAGTTACGGGTTGCCTCTAGAAAAATGGCTGCAATCAGACTTCGGAAAAATCACTTTTCGGGGGGGGGGTGATTTTGTTTTGTGGGAATAATTAAAAATGTAATTGGTTAACTTACAAAAAAATTGAAAAGAATTTGAAAGATTGGGACAATAGGCAATAATTTAATTTGTGTTTCAGAAATCTCAGGGATGCAGGTAGGCATGTTATTGGGCCCTGAACAGTGCTGATTTTACACACTGCTTTCAATGGGTCTTGAATTAGTGGACTGTACCCCTATACGGTCACTGATGATATCACCCAGTGTCCACGTGACCAAGACTGTAGGACTTCCTCCCGTTTTCCGGAAATAGCCGAATTATTCCGAAGTCTACGTCTATATTCAGCATGTTTGAATGGTACAGTTGATGTTCGGTTATTCCCGGCCGGCAAGGTAAGCTAGCTGTTGAACGAAAAGGCGCACCATTGCAAGACTTGTTGTGCTTTATATACAAGATTATCTATGGCCTAATGGAAGTCCAACACGACCTCAAAACCTAATCCAGACCTCATCGTAGACCTCACCAGTTCTCCTATTACCGACCCACTAACAAAACTCTACAGTACCAGCTTCTACCCACCGACCATACTGGAATAGTCTACCGGAATCCATTGTTAACCTACCCAACTGGAGCCAGTTAAAGAATGCCGTGTCTGGTTTTATTTAAGGGAGGGGAATCAAAACATTATTCTCTAGCTCCGGCACGCGTCCCAAACTCTAGCGGGATGCAGAATCTTCTGTTTTGCTGGAGCAACCTGATACATATACAGATACGGAAACTACCGTAACCTAATGGCAATTGTTGATCCTACAATTATTTGACTCTATACACTGAAATCGAAGGTCGCCTTGGCCTCAGTGCCAGGCGAAATGCAGAATATAACTTTCTTCGACCAATGCAGGTTTTGTGCCTGAAACATGCTTTCAGTGGGGATGCAGTGTTGCCCACTGGATGTGGGAAAAGTCTTATTTTTAAGATGTTGCCACCGATGAATCCGAAAATACCCGGGCTCTCAACTTGTGGCCCCTGACCTAAGATTTTTTTTATTAAAGGCCACGATCCTCAGGCTCAACAAATTCGATGGTATTTATATTTCATACTTTTAAAACGTGTTGAACAGATTTGTCATGTTTTATTAATAATGGAAACAGTGATTTATACATTGCTGTTGGTGTCTAAAGCAGCAGTAAAACTACCGGTAGTTGACAGGTATTAAAATAGCACAATTATCTCTGTAAAGTTTGATTTCCACTGAAGTTCAGGTACATGTTCCGCAACTACCTAGATCTATTCAAACATTTGCGTTTTATTTTAATCGAAATTGTTCTACTTTATTATATGTACAAAAAAATTGGTGTGGTGAAAGCAATCCTTAAAGTGCATTTCTCTTCGTATGCTTCTCCATTTCCCATTTAAAATAGGAAAAGAGCCTACTTAAAATCCATGCTGGTGACGTCACGTGACTCCCATTTTGGCCCACGAAACAAACACGGCCCACATGCTGCATGTCAGATTGCATAAACAACAAATTCGATTTATTTTCTTCAAATTCTGACACCATAATCAACATCACAATAACTGATTAACTACAAACTAAATATAATTCTTCCCACGGACGTGCGGCAGAGCCAAACGTCGTTATTAAATACACGTTTTTACATAGAAGTAGTTCCCCTTTAAAAATGTTTACCTTTAGTTTTGCATACTTTTCAGTCAACTTTACATGCATTGCTTCCTAACTGGAGTGTGGTTTTCCGTTTGAGCCCTAGTCTGCTAGAAGTCAGTGATTGACGTCTGCGTGTAAACTCATAAGGTCCATTTTACATATTGTGTTGGTGTTTAGTCCTTTTAAAGTTTTAGTCTCTTGGTGTCAAGTCTTTCCAGTCTTTTAGCCAATTTGGTTTTTACATGGGGGGGGGGTACTTTTTAATTAATGCATTTTTGTTTTTTTTTAAGTCAAATACTGGTGTCTGAGTTCCAATTAATTTAGCTCCCTGCGACCTTTCCCTCAAAGATCCTTGGTTTAAGTTAGAAATATTTGTTTTTGGTTGTTTTTTCGAGTTCCCCATGATAGTGGGCCTTTTTTCAAGGCACTTGGTATATAGGCCAAACAGCCAAATAGTCTTTCCAGAGACAGCGAACATCTTTTGTGGGTTTTTTCTCGTAGATTTTTCCTACAGAACCTAACAAACATAATTGCGTTTATCCACCCTGGCGTTTTAAGAATTACGTTAACAAATTAAGTACCCCCTTACTACTAGCGGCCAATGATATGGCTGACCTAAAGCTGTGGGATTGAAAAATTGATGTATCAATTCCATTAAGAGTTTTAACATTTTTCAGCCATCTATCGAGACTATGTGTACTAAACTGAAGAGGTGCACAACGTATTAGAAAAACTGAGGGTTACCATTTCACACAGTTTGTGCGTTTTACATACTCAGTGATGTACGAACAACGCAATAGTTTATTATCTGTGCGTTACATCTGTTATGGATAAGACAACAGTTGGCATCGGCTTGCCCAGCTTTTAAATTTTGATTAAATCTTGGATTACAAGTGTAAAAGTTCCTCGTGTAATAGTCAATCTGTCCAGACTAAGTAGAGACAACGTTTGAGCTCGTTGACCTGTCGTCAATGCACGAGCGATAGCCGAGTTTATTTAACGCAAGGGTTCCAGACTGCGAAGGTAACGAAGTACCATGCTGACATCCTACGTGGTGGAGTATATTGGGGAAGTTGTGGTCTCAGGTTGTGTAGGCCCCTACTCCATACATTAGTGGTACTAACAATTTGCGTAGCGCTGAACTGTATGGTGTACTATTTACAATGGTGTAATATTTACGACAAACATTTCTCTCTCTCTTTAGCTATATCCTATGGTGTACTATTTACGACAAACATTTCTCTCTCTCTTTAGCCTCCATCCAGGCGACGCAACCAGACGACGCGACGGCACGACGGTTCCCTTGCGTCGTGCCGTCGGGTCGCACTGTCGCCTTCGTCACATTACTTTTGTACACACACGACGCGTCGCGTCGTGCCGTCGCCCGTCGCGTCGTACTGCCTTAGGTACTTTCCATGTTGCATTTATTGCCACCTAAACGTCGCCCCTTCCGTCACCCGTCGCGTCATACCGTCGAGCGTCGCGTCGTACGTCGTGTCGTGCATTGCGTCGCCTATTACGTCGACTGAAGCACGACGCGACGCACGACACGACGCACGACGCGACGCGTCGTGTGCTGTCGCCCTTTGCTTCTTGGTGTTTATAGAGGGCGCCTTTACTGTTTTCTTTTATTTCCGCCCCCGAACTTGCATAGTACGGTACAGTCCACTAATTCAAGCTCCATTGAAAACAGTGTAAAATCGGCACTGTTCAGGGCCTAATAACATGGATACCAACTTCCTTGAGATTGCTGAAAAACAAATGAAATTATTGTCTGGTCCCTTATCTTTTGATTTCCTTCCAAATTTTTCAAGTGGCAACCCTCAACCTTCTTGGGCACTTAGGACCATTTTTCAGCTGTAGTTTTTAACTATTCTGCTCTCATAGGATAGCTCAAAGACCCAGGCAGTTGATCCTGGCAACGATTTACACATTTTCACCATTTCAGGGGCCAAACAATCCCCCTTTTTTCAGAAAAATGCTGGGCTGCCACTTTTAATGCTAATGAGCTGACCACAAATTCTCACTTGAATAGTGGATTTTGTTCCCCTACTTTTTGAAATCCTAACTCCCTCAGAATTAGGTCATACAATTTGTGCAGGTTGCTTGGCAGCGCGTGTGGGCAGTTGGTAGCAGAACTTGCAACCAGCCACAAGAGTCCTTGAGAAGGAGCTGATAACTTCCCTAGCTAACGACCTTCCACACTTCACTTGACTACTGGACTGAACAGAGACTGTTCCGTAGTCTCTCTGTGATTTCTCCTTCCATCGAACCTTCCATACTTACAAATTCGTCCCTGTTCTGCTCTAGGCAAAAACATTACCAGTGTAAGCCTATTGAACCACACATGCATACGTTGCTGGACAGTGGGTGGCTTGGACCAGAGCCACATGAATTCCGTTCCGAAACCTGATTTAGTCGAGGGGAAGGAAAGACTGTGCACTTGAACCCTAAACATGATATAGCCCAACACATCTTCGCCATCCATTCATCCATTTATTGCAAGCCTTTCTACTGCAAACTCTACAGCTACTTGCCAAGTCAAGACAAACCAAGTCATCCCCAACTTCAGCAATAGATCGTCTTCAAGCTTGGCCCTTTATTTATTTTCACTGCTAATTCATAATTTCTCTGTTAAATAGAATCCCTGTTTTTTCCTCATTATTAAAAAGATGCTTTCTCTAACGTGAGGGTATTTGTATTTTCGTAAACCGTGCGAAAACTTCTCACTATATTAGCCGGAAACGAATTAATTCTTACTGGTTAGCTGATAATAAAAGGCGTAAACTAGTAAACAAAGAACTAATGTAAGCAGGTGTCATGATTCTCATATTATGTCAGCTACAATATTTCTCAATCTATTTTAAGATACAATACATCAATCATAATAACGTGCTTGCTAATGTCAGATGCGGATCAGAGGAGAAATTATACATGTGTGTGGCCAAACAGAGTTGAAAAAAAGACACGGCCACAATGATAA